TGAGGCATTTAACAATTGCCCTATCTCATTCATCCTTATGACTGTTGCCAAAGTCATTGATTTTATATATATTCATTTCACTCTGCAGATGCTTCTAAGTTTTTAACTTCCAGAATTTCCTTTTAAGAAATCGAATCACTTTGTCAAAATAATATTACAATTTTCTAGGGGATGCATAATTAGCTAGTTTCCTCATTAATCTGTAATTGTTAGCTTCAGCAGGGTCTTTAGAGCTGCTATCATCTTTCTGCACATACTTGTTAATTACCTTTCCCATTCTCCTAAGCAGCAATTCAAACATTTTCATCACTCTACAAGCTCCCAATCCAACCTTGCTTCTCCTCTTATACTCAGAATATTGTTCACATTCCATTAATTATGGACAAGAGACCACCAGGCCTCACTTTCTGTATCAGACACTGTTCTAAGTCATAAGCAACACAAACTCTGGTCTATTTAAGTGGAAAAGGAATGAATAAATAGTTATCAGATAGCTTATAAGTTCAGAATTTGGAGGGTCTTCTTGCGTTGCCCAGGCTGGTCTTGAATTCCTGGTCTCAGGCTGTCCTCCTGCCTCAGCCTCTCAGAATGTTAGAATTACAGACATGAGCCACTGCACCCAGCCATTTTATATTTTTAAATTGAAGGAAGAGTAACTTGTTTTGAAAACAGTCTTTTTCTAAAAATATAAGGCCCCAGGATGTTGGAGGTTTTGGTTTCAATCCCTCGTTAAAAATGTGATTGTGCCTTTTTTCTGCATAAATCTGATGCTCATATTAACCTGTTTAGGTTACAAAATATATGAGAATACTTGGATTTTACTTGATGTGTTCAGTGGCAATTTATTTCCTCTGGAAAACTAAGAGCTGCTTCATACATTTTCCAACTTGAGAATGAGTTGTTTTCCCAAAGTTTACATTTAAGTCAAGTGTTTGAAACTTGAAACACATTTTCCCACAGAAATGTTATAAATAGTGGTTAATTCCCAGGCCAGGCCAGTGAAGCTGATTAAGCTCCTAATAAGCAAAAATAGACATTTGTCCTGAAAATATTAATAATATAAAACTGTGTACTATGAAACAACTTTGCTTTTTAAAGTCAAAAGATAAATATGAACATGTAATTCATTTCAAATCTATCACTCACAGTGTTTGAGCCATGGGCTACTTTAGGGCTCTTCTCATATAACCTTACCCCTAGAAATGCTACACTGCCAGTGGGGAGGAGAGAGTGGGAGGGATTAAATTGGGGTGGTGGGAGATAAAGAGACCTTGTAACAGTTTTGAGAAAGCAAGTAGCCAATTTTAACCCAGATGGAGGGGTTTCTACTCTTACTGCTAGAAAGACAATGAAGCTAGTACCCCAGAGTATAGATGAAGGGACAGAGAAGCAGACCCTGGTTTCTCATAATTGGCAGAGTCATCAATGCCCTAGTGTCCAGAAGGTGGGTAACAGAAATGCCTGTGGGCAGCTGGAATGCACAAATGGTCAGTCAGCTAACCCATGAGGCTACTGGGAACCTGAGTGCACATCTAGCAGCACACCTGGGCTCCTTACCTATTATATTCCAGAGACCAATTTGCCTATTCCTTAACAGATGCTGCACAGAGCTACTGCTTTATAAAATATTGTAACAACAGGTATATAAATTTAAATTCTACACAGATTATCTAACAGAAGAAGTTGGGCTCACAGGTTAACTCAATGTATAGAACTCAGAATAAAACTTATCTTTCCAACTCTATTCAACTACTAATAACAGAAAAACTGAATGGTAGGCTAATACTAATGGAACAATAGTCAGTCTTAACCTGATTCCAAATGTTTGAGAAAAGCAGTATCATTTGTCTCACCAACAGCCTTTATAAGTGAATGTTATAAAACTGAATTTGTAAAGTTATCCCAATCAAATACTACTTTTCTGATTTCTATATTTTATACATAGGACTCCATGTAAGATTTGTTTATATAATGGGGCCCACTTATCAGCAAGTTTTAAAACTTGAGTTGCCTTCAACACGAATCACTCAACTGCTCAATTACTTTTCATTGAGATATAACTCATATACCACAAACCATACCCTTTAAAGTGCTCAATTCAGTCGTGTTTAATACATTCAAAAAGTTGTGCACTGATCACTGCTATCCAATTCCAGTTTGTCTGGTTTTTTACTGAAAAAAAAAATGGAAAAACAGAAATGTAATTTTCATTGAGTAAAAATCACTTGATTCCATGAAGTTTTATTGCAGAAAGTGAAGTCCATGAATTTAGAATGATGACATCAATTTAAACATCAGTTTTCACACAGTTTCAATAACTGCAGCAATTTCCTTGAATTGTCTGCAAAAATTCTGGAAAGGAGAAAAATAAAATTAATTTTGTTTTTAGAGGATATTTAAGTAATTTTAATTATATCCAACTTCCAGAGGCTAGACCACATACTAAGTTTGCATTTTAATGTTACTTCTTCAACTTTTGAAGGCTGCTATAAGAAATAAGCAGGTATAGTTGCAGAGTTAGATAATCATCGGCTCATGACTAAACTTTTTAAAAAGCCCATGGGAAATTTCTTTTAGAAACACACAGAAAAGATATTTACTAAATACCCAGCACTGTCCCTGGACACTGAAGATACACACCAAAAAGACATGTTGTTTGTAGGCTTCAAAACACTTTAAATCTAGGGCAAGACCGCATTTCAGAGTGATAGGGCTGTCTTGTTTAAGATTATGAGTTTAATTACAGTAGAAGAGACTCAACATTGACAAAGGCTTGTATCGTAAAAGTTTATTTCTTCATCATTGAAAAATTAAGCTGGTGTGGTGGTTCTCTTGTAGAAGTCATTTTCTTTTTTTAAATCTCAGGTAAGAGAGAGATCAAACAAACTCCATTTTCCTTTCTTCTCCTGTACTTGCCAGAAAGCTAAGAGATAAATTTGAAACTTAATCTAAGCAATCAGGATACCCCCTAAACCTTTACATTATTTTCCTTCTTATTTGGCTATAATTTTTTAGTTTGCTACTTGAGAATTTTCTTTTAATTTATATGTAAATTTGCCATAGAATAAAGATGTAACTATTTCATTAAAAATTTATATTCATGGTCAAAATTTTAGCTATCAAAAAGATCTATTGGACACAGAGGCCCAGGCCTCTCCATACTTTGGGAAGGTAAAGTGGGAGGATCGTTTAAGGCCAGGAGTTTGAGAAACTGGACAAGATAGCAAGGTCTAGTCTCTACAAAAAGTAAAAAAAAAAATAGCTGGGTGTGGTAGCGAGTGCCTATGTCCTAGCTAATTGAGAGCAGGAGGACTGCTTGCACCCAGGAGTTCAAGGTTAGAGTGATCTATGATAGCACTATTCACTCCAACCTGGGCAACAGAGGGAGATCTTGTCTCTAAAAAAAATAATAAATTTTGGTCATAAAATGAGTCTCCCAGCTACTTAGGAGACTGAGGCAAGAGGATTGCTCAAGCCCAAGAGTATGAGGTTGCTCTGAGCTATGATGCCATGGCACTTTACCCATGGCCACAGAGTGAGACTCTGTGTCCAAAAAAATAAATAAATAAAGGAAACAAAAGAAAAAGAAAAAAAGGGAACTATGTGATAGATGTGTTAATTAGCTTGATTTTGGTAATTGTTACAAAGTATATATATTCATCAAATCATCAAGTTGTATACTTTGAAAATATAAAATTTTTATTTATCAATTATATCTCAATAGAGCTGGTGGGGGGAGCTGCACCATTTGTGACTTTTTTCCTAAGAAAAAACAATTTCTAGAGGTGAACTCTGAGAGCATGAACATTACACAGAGAAATAAGAATTAGTCCAGCACTATAAATTACAAAAGGGATTAGAACCTATATTCTCTTTCGAAATTGATTTGGTCTTTATATTCAGTTGAAGGTTACTCCCATGTCATAATATACTACATTTACTTCCTTTTCATGAAGTCTCAATTCTTTCTAAGACATTAATCAACAATAATGTTAACTTTATGACTATTATTTTTATTTTAAAGCAGGGATATCTGTCTTAAAAAAGAAATCAAAGGGAAAGAAATTCCTTAAAATATACCTTATAAAAGAAGAAATTAAAAATATTAAGTGGTACATGAGAGGCTTTTCTTAAAAAGGAAGCCTAGGACAGCATGTATTTTTAGTTAGTTTTACAAAGAATTCACTCTTATTTCCATTTCATTCACTAGGATTGCTTTTCTTTGACTTTGAGTGCTAATGCTATGAAGATTCTTACCTATTCATTCACCAAAGAGATCAAAACAAACAAAACCAAAACTGTACAGGACAGTTAAATTAAGGACAAAACGTCTCCTGGTACTTTTAAAAGAAAATCTGATATATTGCCTGCCCCCTTTTTTTCTTCCTTGGTTAGAATATA